GGTCTTGTAAGTATCCACTAAAGGTATAACATCACAGGAATGGAGGACATTTCCGGCCCATTAGCTTTGGGGTTTGGGAGCTAAAGCTAAGTCTACTGCCTGGTTTTACTGTTGTTCCTGCATGTGTTATCCGTATGAGTGGTTTGGTATATCTTTTCTGTTTTGTGTGCCTTATTCATGTTTTTATGTAGATGTAGAAGAAGCTTAATGGATGGTATCGTGTGTGTTAATATGTATTATATATATATATATATACTGCAGCAAGAAATCCCCTTTGCTTCGAGCTCCCCAGAGAAATTCTCTTGAATTGCTCCTCCATGACCATTCCCCCTGTTACGCAATGGATTGTTGATGCATGTCTCTGTCTCTGTGTGTGTGTGTGTATGCATCTTTGTTTCTTGGATATGGAGTCATTATCGCATGAGTGCTGCTGTAGCCATTTAAGCTATGAGTGCAGCCCCCTCAGCCTGATGACTGACACATGGTGACCACTGCTCAGGATGGATGTTTGACTTCTGACTCACTTATTGATTTTTAGTCCCAACCTTTCCAGAAGTATAGTGGCGTACGTAGAGAACGAGAGGCCTGCATGCACAGTCGCACTGCTTGGAATACACTGTATGTATATGTGTTTCTCAGTGATAATGGACCATCTAGTTAATAATGCAGCAGAGGGATGGCACTGCACCACCTTTTCTCATGAAAATTCATTTTCCCTTCGTCGCTCTCCCTCCCTTTCCTCTCCTCAGGCCATCCTTACAAAACAGTTTCATTTGTCCCCATCGACCCAGTCTGTCAGCATTTGCACAGCCAACATAAAGTCTCGGAGGAGAGAAACTGGTTCAAATGTATTAAAGAGTCCTGCTCTGACAGTGTGAATTACTTTTTACCATCATGGGTTTTTGCCACAGGGCTAATGGAGTTCAGCAGCTTAGACTATGAGGCAGATAAAGAAACAGAGTAATTTCAGTCCTTCTCCAACCGCTGTCAATCAAGTTGTCAGCTATACATTTCTGAGACTCTACCGCAGAGATGTCGATGTAGTTTTTAGTGTTTAGCACCAAGTGTGTGTCACAGTTCCTTAACTGAAATTTTCAATGTTTTCCTCGTTGCCAGTGAAGTTTGTCAAGAGATAATGTACATTAAAGGACTGGTGTATAGGATTTAGTGGCATCATTCGGTGTAGTGGACGATGGCAACTTCCTCACTTCATTAAACGCGATGGCTGTGAAAAAACGCAAACAGCATTATCTAGGTTTGTGTTTGGTTTGTCCGTTCTCACCAAGAGCTATCTCCAGCAGTGGAAGGCTAACGTTAACTCTTGTTTTTCTCATATGTCTATCACTTCTTGCCTTGCCGCCAAATGTGGTTTCTTGCCTTCGGTGCAACGCTACTTCTTTATCCTGTCATGTTGGACTGAGTGCAGACCGGACGCATCAGTGACTGACTCTCGTGTGTGGTATTACAAGACAGGAAGAACCAGGGCTAGCTGGTTAGCATGCTAACTTCAGTAGCTATCTCTGCAACGCAATACGTAGATGTCTGAGACATAACATCAAAGCTGTTATTTCTTCACATTCTGTCGATTTTTACAGTTCATTTTTGAGTGTTTTAAACTAGAATATCGCTCATTTAAAGTAGATGCATACCGCATACCGTGATTTATTTATTTCTATGGTAAAGTCCTCTCTCTTTGTTTCTTGACCACCAAAGCACACATCTTCCCACACACTCCCCTGACGGTCATGTTTAAGACCTTTAGCTCCATCGTGCCATTTGAGCTTTTATTTCCATGCTTAGCACCTACATAGTAGAGATTCCTTACTGGTCAGTGTGATGGGTGGTGGCTAGATGGATAAATGCCAGGTGATTTGAGTGAGTCAGACATGAGGTTTTCTTATTTGTCCTCCTCTGTCCTACTTAAGACACGAGAGAAGACATGCAGAGGAGGAAGAATTGAGGCAATCAAATGACACATTTTCTTAGTAAAGCAGTATCTGAATGGACATGATTTACTGATAACAGGTGCACCGCTGGATTGCCTCAGAATGGGCTTGTAGCTGCTCGGTACATTCTTGTCATCTTAGGGAGTTTTTATTTACACAAATAATGTGATGAAATATTTAGCATATTGTTACTTTTTGACAAGCACTTTCCCCTGTGCTAGTTGACTTTTTTTATATTTGCATCTTACCTGATGGTGTTTTTGCTCAGTATGATTGAACTCTCCATTGGGAATAAACATGAAACAACACTGGCAGACAAAATGCGTATATTGCAGAAAGAAGACACCAGACGGGAGTCAGCAATGAGATCGTCTAAAGATATTCTAAATGAAATCATTTGCCTGTAAGGAAGAATAAATCAATGGACTCTCCTTGACTGTGCTAAGATGCATGTTACAGTTTTAAAAAAGAAAAATGCCACCTGGCTTCTGAAGCAAAACTCGACTAAACACATCCAATAAATTTGTCTAAATGACGAATAATAATAAAAAAACATTGCATTTCTGTTGCTATTTCTTCTTTGCTTGCAGTGACAAAACTGTAGTGAAGTGTGGAGATGCACGTCATTTCATCAGCTGCAGTATCCAGTCACTCACAGATTTCCAATGAAGTATTTTTCTAATAATAGACTTCCACATAGGATGCTCTCATGTATCCTCACTCCTTTGGGAATCTTCCTCTCTCCTTGCACCACTGAGCAATAAAACCCAATATTTTTTTTAAATCGAAACAAATGAGATGGAGACATTATGTCCTTCTTAATGCACAAAGGCTACAGACCATCACATGACTGCCTGGTTTAGTCTAATTTTATTGTTCACCCATAGTTGATGCAAGTTTAAAAGATTAAATGTGTTGTTAAGAGGGGCGGTGTAGAGTGATATCATATCTTAAAACCAGAACACACTGGCTGTCTCTCTTTCTCTCCACTCCCCTCCCTGGGTGGCACATGTAGACAGCACTTGAGTCCATGGAGCGATCATGTGAACTCTTCAACCCCTTTCCTCCCACTCCTCCCCTTGTATGTCTGTGAACAGGCAGCTGCACATTGAGGCAGACTGTACCATGACCAGTGGATCTCTCCACGTCTCTTCTCCTCTGTCATGCTTCTCTCCCGCCCATCCATGCCCCCCCCCCCCCCAAAAAAAAAAAAATCCTCCTTCAGCTGGTTGCTAACAACGGGGAAGAGCTTGACAGTGTTTGACGTGTGGTGCGCGGACACTTCCTGAACAGCCGAAGTGGTGCTCTTTGCTCCAGGCTACAGGGGAAGGAGAAGAGTGAGAGAGACGGCGTAAAATAACCTCTATGACTTCACAAAGAGACAAGACGCAGAGAGAGGGAAAAAAGTTTATTTCATCCCCAAGGAAAATTTCACAAGAGCTGAATGTCTGATACACAGGATCAGGAGCTTTTGAACTAAATATATACTTTTTTCTGCCAGACATGCTGAGACCTGGAATTAAAAACGAACACAACTGGACAAGGCCACTTATTTAGACAGCCGTACATTGCATTCAGCAGACGTTGTGTGTGTTTTTTTTTGTTTTTTTTTCATTCTGTGCTCGTACCGTCATGCCTATGGTGCCACAACAAATAAAGCACATCTTGGACTCTGGATGTATTATGTGATGACAGACACAAACAAAACTGAGCCATATATATATATATATATATTCTAACTTTTCTCACTTATTCTCCCCTCCCCTCTTTCTGTCTTCCTGTTTTGTTTCAGCTCGGTGGCGGTGAAGATGACCACGGCACGGTACCGTCCCACCTGGGAGCTGGCCGTGGACCCCCTGGTCTCATGTAAGCTGTGCCTTGGAGAGTTCCCTCTGGAGCAGATGACCACCATCACACAGTGCCAATGTGTCTTCTGTACACTGGTGAGCAGGACACTCTGCACACAGCGACGAGTTTCCTGCAGCTGCCAACAGAATGATGACTAAAGTAAAAAATAAATGGTCCGCAAATCAAATTTATAGAACATCAAAACATTTTATTGAGGAATATTCAAAGCAGATGCACAGAAAAAAAAGTTACCAGTACACTTCAAAGAGCAGAAGTCACCAACATTTCTGTTATATGCAGTGCAAGCATTTCAGATCTGTCCCCACATCAAAGTAAATGTGATATTCAGATAAATTTTAATTTAATAAAAGCCACACAGGATTTTTACTATATTAAAACCAGTAATGGCTTCAGGATCTATTACAAATCTCACACCCCTCTTGTGTAACACTGGACCCATGTGAAAAGACTGGGACGGAGGAAAGTCACACCCACTGGCTGTCAGATCTTAACCAATATAGTCCAGAGATTAGAAAACAATGCCCAAGAATGACCACTAAAAATAGAAGCTACTTCCTAGAACACAGTCTGGGTGGCGGCCGCTTCAATTAGTACAGCGTATTCCACAGAGGTCAACCACAATGTAAACACAGAATCTCAAGCCTAAGCTACTTTTCTATCACCTATTTAATATCTTTTTTATATTTTGCTCACTATTAAATTGACAGCTCCTGAGGGGGAATATCTTACTCTTTAACTGTTAAATGCTCCATTTTCTTCACCAGCTAGCTGCTAATAGTGTTTGCCATTTGGTGTCGGGTATATAGTGGGTGTATTTTAGCCTTTAGCCTGTTAGTATAAACGTATGAAGCAATTTTATTTTTAAACTCTTTAACAAATACTGTCACTCCTTCCTCTTTTCCTGATGCAACACGCCAAGATAACTATCATTGTGTGTTCTTCTGATGCATGGTCTGTTTGTTTTTCTTCTTTTCATCTAACTGACTGGTTATTGAACTGGGTCAATGTTGTATTTATCTGTCTATCGGTCTGTCTTTTTTTCTCTCACTCAGTGCCTGAAGCAGTATGTGGAACTCCTGATTAAAGAAGGCCTTGAAACTGCAATTAGCTGTCCAGACTCTGCCTGTCCCAAAAGAGGACACTTGCAGGAAAATGAGGTATTGATGAAAAGAAATGTGAACTTTGATTGTCATTAGATGAATTTGTCTTTTATGTGGTGACTGGGTCCCTTGCTACTCTGCACACACAGGAACATGTCTAATAATGTCCAAAACATCTCAGCTCTGGATTGGACTGAGACTGGATCACTGTAGCAATTTCCAGAAACTTCGTCACTTTTTGTTTACACACAGTGCTGTACAGAATTTTGCATTGAACTTACACAAGCTCCTGTATGTACATGCATATCTAGCATGTGTATTACCAGTTGTATTACATGTGCTTGAAATGGAAAAAAAACAGAAATTACAGTGATGTCCTCAGATTTTTACCTCCTACCATGCTATTCTTTTTTTGGTAAAAATTAACATGTCTGCAGTTAGTTTAACACCCTCAGAGCTCTAGCTTTACTCAAGATGAGTTCACCTGCCAGTGTGTTTATTCCATTACACTGAGCATGGCTGTCTTCCTATCAGAGGTCAATCTGAGGGTAAGGCGCTCCACATCCTCTGGGCAGTTTGGTTGATGGACTCACTCACTCTCTCACTTGGTCTCGGAGGCCTGTGGGCATGGCACGGTTCAGCACACCACGGCCTTATGTTTCTAATCAATCAGTGTCACAGGCCCTTAATGGAACCCCAGCTACTCCTGCCAGTCAGGCAGAGCATGCCTCATCCCTGTCTGCTCTGACAGCAATGCCTTCATCTTGTAATTGACTGCTCTTTTACAAAGCCTGAATCCTCATTTCATTGCCCAATAAATGAGTACATTTAACCTTGACTGGCCCTGTGTATGCACTCTGAATACATCCTGGCAATTGGATTCTCTTTTTCTATCTGGCCTTGTTGGTAAGCAAGTGGCGAGTTCTGATCTTGTATAAATTTGAATTTGACATTGTTCTGAAAATGAAATTCACACACTGAAAGTGTAATTGCTCCTTGCAACTCCTGTCTATAAATATGCACAATGACCTGCTTATTTCCCTCCCACTTCTCTCCTCCTCTCCCTGTAGATTGAGTGCATGGTGGCCACGGATATGATGCAGAGATACAAGAAGCTTCAGTTTGAAAGAGGTGAGTCAATGCAAACAGCAGCCGCAGCACGTCAGTGTTATTTCTCAGTGGGTGATGTGTGGGCACTGACTGTGTCACAGACACACGTGGACCCTCCTGTCCTCCAGGGATACTGTCTTTTACTGTGACAAACAAAAGGATGACGACCGTCCTGTCTTGCGAGTGTAGACGAACTGCTGCTCACTCTGTCTGGAATCAATCATTCACCCCCTGTGGACATTTTTGCTGTTGAATTACTCCATGGGGTATCTGCAGAAAGCAGATAGAAAAGGTTTGAACAATGCTTGTTTGCTCTGTAAATTTCAATCTTCAACACTGACGGGTGTCTTCAGGTTTTCTGTTTTCCAGTCTGTATCGAACACTGTTCCAAATTTGACTTTTGACACCACACATTTCAGATTCAGTACCATTCATGAACTGCAAATAATCATGCAGGCAAGGAATATTCTTGTGACAGGTGCTCAGGCCTAACATTTGTCTGATTTGTACTGTAGTATTCTGACTCAACCCTGTCATCCTCATCAAAGTGTAATACCAGCTCCCATCAAATATGCATGAAAGGGAAAGCCTCCCAGACCCTGTTTAAAGAGATTCTAATTGGATTGGTTCAGCTCTAGACTCGTAAACTGTCTGACTGACTCTGATGGAAGCAGGTCTCTTAGTATAGCAAGATATTTTAGTTAAATCCTTTTTATCTCTGCTTCAGTGTGCAGTTTGCATTTTACACTGTTTGGAGAATAAATGTTAACCTACTAATAAAAGGCTTGGATATCAGTGCTGGAAAGATGATAGCAGGTTTGTGTCGCTTCGCTCCATGCTGTCAATGTAGACATGCTAATCAGTAATATTAGAGTTCCCTCGCTACAAGAGAACTACTGTTTGATGGTACTCACCCTGCAGATTCTCCACCTACACAACGGCACAAACTGTACACAGAACATGCAGATCTCACATGCACGAATAAATATATGAATGCAAAAGCAAAAACATGTATAGGAAGACAGGGGGGGTCCCTGTAAATGAATAAAAATCCTCAGAATGGCTCAGAATTAGCTGTTGATGCCGCCTGGATAAGGGCAGTCACCCGTCTCATCAATGTCCCAATCCAGTCAGGCAGAACAGTTGCTGTAACCGTTCCATATTTCTATGGCTGAGCCAAGAGTGCATGTGGAATGTGTGCTCCGAGTTCTTGGCAGAGAGGCAAGAGGAAGGACGAAAAGGATATAAGGGCAAGTGCATCTCAGTATGAACTTAGAACCAAACTGGCGAAACACACAAAAACTGGTCTCTAACCACCGGAAAAAGTAATCACACATATTAAAACTGAGTTTGGAGAAGTCATGGGAATTAGTTAGTTAGTTAAATATTGATACAGATAAGGTAATGATTGTATGGAAGCAATTTTCCAACCTAAGCCTTTTACCAATTTGTAAGGTTGTAAGTTGATTATCCCTTCCTTAAAATGTCTTCCCTAAAGTTACAAAAGATATATTTTCTTACTTACTAGTGGTGGTATCAAGCAATGCACATTGTTCCGGTTTTATGTGCTGAGATTTGGAGAAACATCAGCTACCACCTGAATACTAGAGCTGTAATTTTTGAGCTTTGAAAAAACATTACTATGACTGCAAGAAAAAAAACCTGTCTCAATAAAAAAAGATTTATTTTTGATTTGGGTTAACTAACCCTGTAAGACAGCTATTGTTCATGACGCTGGCACTTCTTTTGTTCCATTAGAGGTGCTGCTGGACCCATGCCGGACATGGTGCCCTTCCTCGACCTGCCAGGCCGTGTGCCAACTAAAGGAAGCAGATTCTCCAGCGCTGCCACAGCTGGTTCAGTGCGCCGTCTGTGCCCTCGAGTTCTGCTCGGCCTGCAAGGCCAACTGGCACCCCGGGCAGGCCTGCCAGGAGAACAACCTGCCCATTACCTCCTTCCTACCAGGAGAAAACAGGTACTGCCTTTTGTGTGTTCATCCCTTTACAATCGAATGTACCATTTCATGTGAAATTCTTGTATTCTCAATTTCTCAATCAGATGTTAGAATGTTTTTGTCTTGTCTCTATATTTTGACCTCTACGTACATAATTTAATAAATACATTCATATATGCTACTCTTCTGGTGATCCATTAAGGCTAAAATGCCAAAATTCTCTGGATTTAGCTTCTCAAATGTGAATATGTTGCTGGTTTTCTTGGTCCTTTATGATATTGAACTAAATATCTTGGGGTTTTGGACTCTTGATCGCAATTTGAATATGTCAACTTGGACTTTCAGGAATTGTAATGGGCATTTTCTACTTTTTTTCTGGCATTTTATCTACCATAATCAAGAAAATTGATCAGAATAAATAAGGTGCAGCCCTAGTAACTACTGGATACAAAACGTAATAAAAATAACCTTTGAAATTGGTCAAAAATTGTAGATATACATTTATTTATTAAGTGATTATAAGCCTACTTAAAATATGTATTTTTTTTAAACTAAAATATTAATGATATTTTTAACAAGTAAATCAATTGATGACTTTATTTTTATTACATCATCAATTAAAAGTGTTACACACCAGAAATATCCAGTACAATAATAATTTACATTGTCTGAATGCTTTTACTACTTCTTCAACCTTCAAAAATATATTTTATTGCATTCTAACATGCTCTGACAGTATCAACCACTATAAAGGAAATCTCTGGAAATATGAGTGCCAGAGTAGCAATCCACACATCATGTTCAGCTCATCTGACTGCAGTTTAGATCCACTTGTCAATATACAGCAGGATTCATTCAGTGCGACTGACAGCCAGTCTGGCTGGCTGTTTTGCAGCCACTGCTCAGTTGAGCATCAGCCAGAGCAGTCTGGTATGGTTGTACTCTTCATTTTAAGGATACAGGATCCTTCTGTGAGGGCAGAATAGGGCTGCCCGGAGACATGTGCAGCTGACCCCTTTCTTTGTGATATCCTCTTACTCTGGAAATGTCATTAGCTCTGCGGAGACTTCTTCTATCTGCACAGGTTCAGGACCGAGCTCAGAGGCCACAGTGGAGGGAGGAAGAGAGGATTAACAGGTCGACTCTTAGTCGTAAAAGAGCCTCTGTGTTTGAACTACACTTGTTCACTGGAAAGATGTCTCTATAAGCTGAATTCTTATTCTTCTTTACACCCTAAACTATTTATTATTACTTTGAGGAGGAGGATGACAGGAGAAACTATGAGCCTCCACTTTAGAATGCCCCCTCCACTAAAAATGAATGGGCTTGTTTGCTGTCCTAGAGGACAATGCCCAGAATGAAGACTACCTGCACGCCTCCAGATTTCAGCAGTCAGCAATTTGCTGAAACAGGAGAAATTGATACAGAGAAATTGATACAGACAAACTGACACCGACAGGAGGGAAGAATGAAGAGTGTGGGAGGGAGTTCAATGCCAGTTAGTAACTGATGGTTTTTAGAAGAGAAGCTAACCACTGTCTCACACAATCCCGCTACGCCAGAGATTGTAAATATTGATTGCTGCATTAAAGCAATCTCATCACTGGCACTTTTTGTAAAGTGAATGTTGAGTGACTTTGGATTTTATGTCATGTTTGACTTCTGTCTGTCTTTTACATAGCTCTTTCTATAAGAACGAGGAGGATGACGCACCAATCAAGCGCTGTCCTAAATGTAAAGTTTACATCGAGAGGGACGAGGGCTGTGCGCAGATGATGTGCAAAAACTGCAAACATGCCTTCTGCTGGTACTGTCTGGAGTCCCTGGATGTGAGTTGGGTCTTCATAATTTATTTATTCCTTAATTCTTTTTTTTATCAGTTTATCAACTTTTTAATATTGTAATGTAATGTTTGCACACTGTGATAATCCTGGGTGTAGACATCATTTGTCTCCCTGCAACAGCAATAGCTTTCATTATCAGGAAATTGTTGCTTAACCTTGCTCTTGACAAGAAAGGAATGAGATGTATTTGTTTTTGTTTTATGAGCTGTGGTGTCTTATGTAACCTTAATTGTGCGTGCGACTGCGCCACACAGGTCATTTAAAATCAATTTTCTCCAAACAGCTGCCTGTGTCTTTCAGACTGCTAATGGTCAATCTTTATCTGTATTGTGTGTGTGTTTGTGTGACAGGATGACTTTCTCCTGATCCACTATGACAAAGGGCCCTGCCGAAACAAACTGGGCCACTCCAGGGCGTCTGTTATCTGGCACAGAACACAGGTGAGAAACCTACCATCCCTCACACTGACTCAGGGCTCCCCCCTATAACCACACTGCAGCATGTGGCCATACACGTGCTCTTTCTCCCTCTCTCTCTTTGTAGCTTACACACTCAAATTCAGTGACAGGTTTGTATTATCTTGACAGCCCAATAGGAAAAGCACAGCTTGATTCTCGTGCATCGACGAGTGTCTGGTGGTCAGCATCCTGCTTTTTTTTTTTTTTTTTTTTTTTTTAAGGATACCTTTCACTTAAAAAAAAAATATCAAGGTTCTTACATAACTAAGGTCCATAGGTAACCAAATGAAATGACGGATTACATATAAAGGATTTGGTACGACATGTAATTTCCCACATGTGAAATGGCGGATTACACATGAAGGATTACACATGACATGAAATTTCCCACATGTGACAATACCTTTTAAGTCTATGACGGTGTGCGGTGTTGTCCAGGTCCCAGATTTCTCCCCAGTATCTTAGCCAAATAATCTATTCATGGGGTGGTACGTCCCCTTGTCCAACATACTTGTTATTTTGTCAACATTAGCATACACGCTGGCATCTGTTGCCCAGTGGGGCAGGCTGAGTCATATGATTACAGTTCAGCTGGTGGAAGCCAGCTATAGCTTCTCTGCTCTGTGTGCCTTTGTCTCTCTCTTGCTTTTCTCATTTCACCCCCTCGTTCCATCACATCTTAAAAAGCCTCCCTCTCACTCCCTCATAAATACAAGATGTACCAGGGCAAACCTATCCTGCATTAAAGCATCTTCTCTCCCTGTCTGCGTGTGACGACATTGGGTCTGTTTCCACGAGAGTCATACCATCAGTTAGAAGGAAGGTCATGTCCTAAACGTGTAGGCATCACCAGGGTCTGTTAATCAGAGCACATTGTGCACAAAAACCCGTTTCCAGCCTGTAATACTGGCTGTAATCATAATATCTGTTCTTAAAGAACAGGCACAAACCTGTTTGCATGTGATATCCTGTCTTTTTGCCCTCAAAACGTGAGGAAAAGCATTGTGCCATGATAAGTCACTGTTGCATGTGACTGGGTGTTATGTATTCCATTTTGTGGCATTGAACTTGCTGGTGTCTGGCTCCCCCATGTGGTGAATCTACTAACTTACCATGATTATAACAGGAAAGAGAAGATCAAATGAAAACTTTTCTAACTCAGTTTTACCTTCATAATGCCAGCATATTTATTTAAATCCATGATTATTTGGGATACATTAATGTTGAGAAAATCATATATTCACTGACAAAAATGACCAATTGCCATCAACAGCTCTCCTGTTGTTGATGCTGGGACAGATGACCAGTAAAGCTTCTTGCAAGACAGTCTCTGTGTTAGTTGATTTGACAATTTAACATTTCAAATTGACACAAGATCTGGGAGATCCCTAGCAACACTCTCACTCCATAACTGCAACCAGATTTCAAGTTCCAAGTAAACAAACAATACATCTGTAGACATTTGTGAAATCTTGCCAAGATCATTTGTGGTAGTTGCCAGCATCTTGTACACCACCTCAAACATGGCTGTCACAGCTAAGTTTAATGTCCCAGTCAGTTTATTTGTCAGGCTTTGTGCAAGGCAATATTTTGTTCTGTGATTTACTTAGCTTTTTCAAATTGGTGCTGATATACTCCATTGCACTAGATCATGTGGGATCATCTGTGTTCTCTCTCACAATGATTGTTACCTGTCCATGCAGCATGAATGAAAAATTAATTTATACGTTATTTACTTTTAAATAAAATATGCCTTATATTGCCAAGTTACTGGGAAAACAAAGCTTTCTGAAGCATTTTGAAACAACTGTGCTGAAACAGGTTTGTTGTTTTGAGGCCATCTGCAGGCCAACATGTGCTATTGCAGTTGATTGGAAGGATCCAAGGCTTGTGTCCGTGAAACCATGAGATTAAGAACTAAATTACCACTGTCCTCTTTTTCATATATTTATTTTATTTGGTTCAGTACAAGTTGTACAAAAGTAAATAAATATAATAAATAAATAAAAGTTATTTAAAAATTGTGGAAGAGGTGCAAGTAACCCTACCTGCTGAAGTAAGCCACATTTTGCTAATGCCTCCTTGCAGGTTGTGGGGATCTTCGCTGGCTTCGGGCTGCTCCTGCTGGTTGCCTCCCCCTTCCTCCTTCTGGCCACTCCCATCGTCCTCTGCTGCAAGTGCAAGTGCAGCAAAGGCGATGACGACCCATTGCCAACCTAAACACGCCATCACAGCTGGAGCGGAGAGCCGCTTCAAGGATAGGCCATCTTTTTTTCCTTTTCACCCTTTTTAGGTTCTCTTTCTCCCACCAGCTTTGAGCGCTTCATATTTTTTGGGCTGAGCCTGCACTAGCCCCGGCCGCTTCGGGATCCATTGCTCTGCATGAGAGAGGCGTGGTAGGAGAAAGCGACCCAGGAGGTGCAGGGTCAAAGGTCAGAGGACGTCAGACTTTGTCGATGGACCGTTGTGTCCGTGTGTGCGACGTTGGTGGTTTGGGAACGTGGAGGGAGCCTGGGCCACGTCAAGTGGTCTTCAGTCATGTGGTGTGGTCGTTTGGCGGGTCATTACAAACAAAGAAAAAATCCGAGTTAAGAAATGCTTTTCTCTTGTATGGACAATATCATGCAGGAGCCACCTTAGAGAAAAACTTTTACTTTATCGCTCTGTTTTGTCGGTTTGTCGTACGCAACAAAAGCTTTTTCCCCCCACCACCACACTCAATGTAGCTCTACAGATTCAGTCCGTAGCATTAGAGTTACACCACGCATGTTTGGTGTTCACTCGATTTGCACACTGAACGTGATTTCCATGTCATGTTCACGACTGAGGTAGAGACGGGAGGCTGTTGTGACTCTCAACTCAATGTACAGCACGTCCTCTTGATGATGTCAATGTTTTATAACCTGTTGCTTTTAATAGAACTGTGCTCAAAGTAGTGTCTATGTGTTGTACTTTTGAGTGTTTTCCAAACTGTAAGGTACACTTATTAAAGGGGATTGCCACTCAAATCTCAAACTACGCTTATTTTCTGTGCTCAAGTGACAATGAAGTTTTATTCAGCTTTTAGCTTATGTTTTATACACAGATGTTCTTTTTTTTTCATTGTTACATCTCTCTAACTCATTCTCTTTGACACACATACAGACATTATATATTGGAGTCATCTTTGTGAGAGAGAGAAAGAGAGAGAGAGAGAGAGAGAGATTCTGTAAGATGTTACAGATTTTAAGATAGATCCAGAAATTTCCCAAATTGAGTGGTACTCCCCTTTAAGTTCAGCGTTAATGTAAAGTCTATCCGAGGACTTTGTATCCACATCTTGTGGAATCATTTTAATACTACGCTAAAAGAGATGTCACTCCTGTAATTCTCAATCCCCAGGTGGTGGTGTAGCCAAATAGAAATGAATAGCCTTAAATTGAGAATAGCCAAAATCAGTCATTTCCCCCTTTGCATTAAAGAGTTAAAAGTTGAATCCAAATAATCCCAGGGAAAGCATGTTTAACAGCATTTGAAAACATTACAGTCAGTGAAGCCCTTTATATTCAGATGATTCTATGATGTCATCCATATGCCACGCTGTTAATAGCCATACTGTAAAAAAAACAACAAAAAAACAACTGTCCTAAACTGATGTTCTGTGTGACCTGCGGCTTGTATTGCCTAAGCCTTTTGGAGCAGGAGAGCTGATCGGCGTCCACCCAACCATCATCACAAACGATCTGAAACTCAGTCGGATCAGATCTCCCGCTCTTTGAGACTTAACGAATACCCGCTGGCCCAAATTGCAAACTTGCATACGTTAGTGGTCCGAGTGTCGATGTTTTGTTTTGTTGGTAGTTAGACCTCCAACAACAAGCAGCTATTCCTTGCAGGGACATCAGAAAAAGCCTCTAGAGTCAATATAAAAGAATGTTCCACTTTCTGGGCACATAATTACGAAGCTGCTCTCTACTATATCACTTTATCTATGCAAGTTTGTACATTACCATTATTAAAAGGCTATCGATTGGTCAGAATCAACTGTGTGTCATGGGTAGGTTCATATAGTGAAAGCTGCAGAATGTCACCATACATGTGCATATCATGGTTTTTATTTAATCAGGGAATTATTGAGAAACTATCATACGTTACTTCATTTTATGTTCATCATTTATATTGTTATAAATCTGTCTTTTAGCTATATTTAAAGTTTGTGAGCTTGAAACCAGGACAGAATTTGGCCATTGTTCATTTGATAATGTCTTAATTTTTGGGGAAATCTCAAGTTTCTTTTCAAACTTCACAAAAACTGTTTATGTTAAGTTAATACAGGACAAAAGGTGAAACCATTTAGTTTTAGTTCATCTACCTGTGTTAGGTCTGTTCCCTTGCATAGCCATTCTAATGTTTTGAATAAGCCATTTACCACTGCTTACTTTCACCTCCCTTCTGGTGTAATGTATCAGTGTTAATGTAGCATTTCAAGTGTGGCTACTGTTACCAAAAAAGGTTCATCAATACTTAACAACAGTAGCTAATATAAGCTAAACAGTAGCTAATCATCCACAACTCATTCCCTCATAAATTTAGCTCTGATACTCAGTATGATCATTCTTATTATTAGTAGCCTTAAGTTTAGAGTACCTTACCTGTAGCCTGTGTTGCTTTCACTGACCTCATCTACTGTATGAGCATGATAATTTGATACCACAGCTAGTCCAATTTCTACCTTTTTGGAGTTTGGTGCTTTCCCCAAAAATAGTTCAATTCCACAAGCTTTTGTTGTTTTTATGACAATCGTGCCAAGTAGATTTCCTAGAAGGGATAAGGAAACAGAGCTGTCTACTGTATGTGCATTTTGACCATGTATTTGTAATGTATTAACAGTTTTCACAGGTTTGGAGAATATTTTAATGTTTCTTTATGTAAACGCTGCACTGTATATGGGTTTTATTGTTTTATTTCTTGATATGATCTGTGACAAGTGTGTGGTATGTTGCCTGCTGTGTTTAATGGAGGAGTTTAGCAGCTGAAATCAACATCAACTCAATAGTAAATACATACGACATTGCATCTATACTTTTTAAGGGGTTTAAAAATTTTATGTATTAGGGCTCTGATATCACCAGGATAAAAAATAAATTTTAGATGGGGCCAAATAATAATTTAAACACAGAAATATCACTGTCATTAAAGCCTTGGCTGGCATACATTAACTGAAGTCGAACAAAATCATGGCCACCTCCATTTTATTAATTTTTTTAAACTTATGTTTGCTGGCACCACTGAACAGGTAGTACTGTATTATGCAACAAACATAAAAGGGCCAAACAGCGAACATTACAGTCACTGCGTTACTGTTTTCTACACCAGGACCAGAAGAGGCTTGTCAGGGCTCGATATAAAGGCATACTATAAAACCACTTCAGCAGATGAAACATCAGCACAGGCGTTGGAATAGGACAGTTTGACCGAGTAAAAGGCCTTGCTTCTAAGATTTGGACCTTGAACGGGAAGCAAGGTAACGTTTATTTTACAAAGGCTCAAGATCTACTTTGCAACTATCCTAAAGATCAAGTTTGGTTACGAGCAGCAATTTATATTTTATAATCTGTTGTGTCAAGAGATGAAGCTGCATGATTTTTCTCTGACTTCTACATGTTAAATATTACAATATTGTAGCCTCTAAAGATCTTTGGAATGGTAGCGTTGTCACTCTATCACCCAGCTGTCTGCTTTTTTTTTTTTTTAGTTTGTTTTTTTATATGTTTTGATGTTCAGCCATATGATATATAGCGTTGGTTCGCCTTCCTCAATTCAGCAGGTTGGCTTCATGTATTTCTTATGTTTTTGTTGATTTATTTTTATATACACCTGTTACATCATAGTTTGTTGTATTCGCATTACTTGTTTTCGGAGCAGAATTGTTCAGGCATGATTGGTCAGTTAAATTTCAGTCACCTCAGTAAGTGGATTATTGTCAGAGGAAATGCTGTCTGTACACACGACTTCTGTATTTAGAGATGGTAAAGAATGTCTCTAGTTTAGTCAGTAATTGAAAGTTAATTGACCTGGTTCATACAAAGATATCAGCATTGTAAAATGGCATATTTGGATCAGTTCTGTACAACTTAGACTCTGCATCTCAGTATATCTACAGTTCCACTAACACTGTGACACCGGGTATTAAAGGTTGTTGTTTTTTTGTGAACCTGCTCTTGTCATTTATTCACACCCAATGTACTGAAATATTACAATTTTGCATTTCAAACATACCATTAAAGTCCTGTGGCCGATTTGGTTGTGAAATGGCTCCCTCTGGTGTTGAAAGTGTATAGCTCTCCTTTCCGTGAACAGGGAATCTATAGTACAAGAATATGTCCATCAGCAACCATCAATCAGTTAAACAAGAGACGATTTCTGTATCAGTCTGCAAAAGATAAGATATGGAAAAATAATATATATATATATATAATTTATGAGTTATCTAAACTTCATGCTACAAGGATTACAAAAATATTTTTTCTTGTGTTAACCATTACATGGAGATAAATAAACCATAAACAGGCAAGCGCAACAATGTACCATCACAAGATTAAAAATGAAATACTGTTGATGTCACAGTCACAGTCACAAGAATATGTGACTTTAATCCTTGTTCTCACCTTCCTACATGGCCAGATTAATAGCTTGAGACACACTAACTTTTTCTAATGTCGGTTTTTGATGCTCAGGAGGCGTATGCATCATTTTATTCTCTTCACAATGACCTATTGTAGAAAATGTTCACATCCTCTTTCTAGCCTTTGTTCTACTTGCGTCAAGCAGCTTTCCTTCATATTCATGGCAGCTCTGTCTGTTCTGTTGCAGCTCTGTCTGTTCATCAGACATGTCGGCCTTTTGTTAAGGTCTGCCAAAGAACAGGTTGTTCTCTCCCTCTCTCTGCCTTTGTGTCTACTTCCTGCCAGATGCTGGATTGGGAGCATTAACAAGACAACCCTGAAAATGAAAGTGCAAACGCTCGGTGATATATCATCCCTCACCAGCTGTTCTCTGTTTGGAAGTCTCTCCACCAATCATTGGGCAGGACCACAGGAAGTTACCATCTGTGGGCATCATGGTGACAGAGTTTGTTGATGGGCGTTGAAGCTGATGTGTTATCTGGAGCAAATGGAGTGTGATACAGGGAGAGAGGATGCGAGGGGAGGCTGGGGGGAGGCGAGGGGGGGTAGGAGGTGTGGGGACGGAAATGGAGAGATGGACAGAGAGACACAGGGAGTGTATCACCTGGAGGACAAAGCGCTGCACCTCCGAGAAACAGGAAACAGAGAGCCAAGCTCCAGAGCTGAGAGGGGGATGGATGAAAAGAGAAGAGACAAGGCCTTTGCACCTGCTCTGTATAGAACACAAGGTTCTGCTATCACACGTGTGCTGGCTGCAAGCCGATCAGGCTGCACTGCTCCGGCTTTACCTTCCAACACCTTGCTGCCAAGTCCTCCTCCTGCTCCCCATCAGCATCCTCTCCTCTGCTGCTCTGCACGTACAAACCAACCAACAATCTCTTACCCTTTTAGCCCTGTTACTATAGCATCAATGCAGGAGACTATAGGAAAACTTACTTAACTACTTAACAGGCAGAATGCATGGTAGAGCTGACCAAGTAGTGCTATGCATTGGGATGTCTGCTCATCTCTTCCATGCAGCATAAAATATCTTGACACAGTGTCGGTGGTTCCCAACCCTTTCTTGATTGTGATACCATAATATGAAGCAACATTTACGTACTTGTGAACCCTCTTCACAGGGTGCATGACTCCAAACTGTGTTAGTTAAATCAAAACAGATTTCTCCTTATTATACTGTTTTTTGTACTAAGTAAGAAGAGATAAAACTATGTAGCATTTCACCAAAGACAAATACTAAATTCAAAAATATGTTTTTCTTCTTGTTCCAACAGTTGGATATTTGACACTGTACAGAGTGATGTATGTGCAGAATTTGACACTCGAAAGGATGTTTTCAGATTCATCTGATGAAAGCAGAAAGTTTCTCTGTGCTCATTGAAAATCAGATTTTTTAGGGCCATGGCCTACCAGCAGGATTTGTGATATCACAAATATTTTGGAAGTCAGCGCTGGTCCAATTTGCAATTTATAGAAGTGTGATGCAGAAACTTGAAGCCACCATTGCACATACACTAAGAATGGACTTTACAGTGAAGTAGAAGACATCTTGTGTCCAGCAGGAAATCTTAAGAAATGAACTAAATTTGCATATTCATAGAGTCTGGAACGTTTAATGAGGTAGAAGAAGTAAAGTAGTCTTTTTAGGATTTGAATGTGGAAACTATACTTTCTTTTGCAGAACACACATTATTGTTCTAAGCAGACTATTGACTATGTCTTAATACATGTCTTGAGGAGATATTTAAATAAAGGTCTGAAAAATAAAAATAACATTGGGTAGCGGAGTTTAGATTATTTTTTTTTATTCCCTACCAGTAATCATCTCACATATCCTTAAAATAATGTCATGACCCTTTGTCTCAGCCCCCAGGTTGGGGACCACTGGTAAGACCCAAAAGTGACATTTGATAGAGCCAAAAAAATCTTACCTCCTTGAAGCCATTCAGCACTCTGCACAGGAAACACACATTTAAAAACACATAGAGTTAAATCTACCGATGTTGTATGAAGTGTTTGTTTTACACTAGTATCCGTAAGTTAGTGATAATATCTTAGCCTTGAAAAGGGAAAAAAATAAGGCTCATTATCTGCAACGTGCAGTCTAAGAATATCATTGGATGAATGTTTTTGCTTCATTTTACTTAAAATAGCTTATTAATCTGATCCCTGATGATCCTTCCATGACCAGAATTCAGTAGGGAGAAATCTTAGTACCTACAGGAATTCTGAATTCCCATGTGCACTATGGTGTAGCATAAGGTCATTAAGCAGTTATGTTGTAAGTAATATTATGATTTACTTGATGTTAATGGTAAATCTGCTTGCCAGAAGAGGGAACTAGAGTGCTGTAAAAACAGCACAGTGTGTTTGTCAATAATGACACACACACTGACTTTTGATACATCAAATACTGAAAGGGGAGAAATGTTGAGATGCAGATCCATTTCAAGCATTCTGCAATTTGATTCCACTTCTGCACATTTTTGAAGGCTGCCCCAAAATGTCAAAGGAGCTAGGATCACACAGATCAGGGATTCATCCTGTATTTGTTTGCTCAACTGTCACTGAGGGCAGTGCAGTATACAGCGATATACAACCATATACTGTTTTCTGTTCCACTGAGCATTGATGCTTATTCTAGAGGATCTTTCCTCAGTCCTGACATGTCACGCTGACGGGCAGCGTTTGCCCCTGCCGAGGAAAGAATCGAGTAAACACACGTTGACATCAAAAGCTAAGAGTTCCCTGCCAGCTCTCGATAGGGGTTAAGGGTTAATAATAGACGTGCATTTGCTCATACTTGAACACACAGCACAGACACAACTCTAATTGTGACCAGGGGCCATTGTACATCAGCCGGTGACTGACATAAGATGACAGGGTCCCGCCTCCGATCTATTTTATCCCAGCATGTAGTTGTACTGCTCATTGTCCCTTAAGCCTCTGACACCTATTAGCTCTCATTAGCTTCCTGTGGTTCAGCGAGACATGGCTCTGGCCTGTCAAATCAACAATAAAGTTATTTGTTGATGTTGTTCTAACAATCAGTGGCTTGGATTGTGACTTCAGAAATTTAATTTCTAACAAACAGCTACACTGACACAGAGAGCATCTATGGACTTCAATAAGATGAAAATTGTATCTATTTAAAGAATAGCTTGACATTTAGAAAAGCACATCTGCCTTCTTGCTGAGAGTTAGATAAAAAGATCGATACCACTCTCATGTCTGTGCATTAAATGATGCTACAGCAGAGTGACAGTTAGTTAAGCTTATCATAAACTGGAATCGTGAGGAAAGAACTAGCCTATATCTGTCAGAGAGAGTAAAATAAAAACAAAAAATAATATCACCAAACAGCACCTTTATAACCTAATCAACATATTGTATGTCATTTGTCCAAAGTGTCTTGGGGCTTCCTGGTAACTCACCTGGTAGGCCTGGTGCCCCACTTACCTTCGCTGCAGCAGCCATTCATTCAAATCTGGCCTGTGGCCCTTCGCTACATGTCCTCCCCTCTCTCTCCCCCTTTCCTGTCCATCTCTCAAGCTGTCCTATCAATTAAAGGGAAAAAATATATTTCTAAAAAAGCGTCTTTCTGAAGTCTCGGGTTTGGCTGCCAGGCAACCAATGGAGACTCCAAGAAATAGTCAAATAGTGTTTTGTTTTTTTAAGATCTAGTAAGACTCAAACAAATGAGATATTGCATGTTAAAACAACAGTTCGACATCCAGGGAAATAAACTTGTGTCTACACAATTACAACCACAAATCTATTATGCCGACAGATCCAGGTAAGCTTTTTCACCCTGTTCCCAGCTTAACTAAGATAAAGCTGCTGGCTGTAGCTTCCTATCAAATGGACAGATATGAGAGAGGTATCGACATTCTCATCTAGCTCTCAGTGAGAAAGTGAAAAAATGTTTTTCCAAAAATGTTAGACTATTCTTTTAGTAATCATTTATAAACCAAAAATCTAAAATAAATCATGTTCATAATAAACTTGGTTAGGGTAAGTTTAAACTGTTGCAGGCCTAATCCAGTATGTTAAAATGTTAAATAATGTTTACACATGAGGCTCCTGCATAAGAACCTGCCAATGTCAGTGATTGGTTGAATTGCGTACTCTCCATCTTCCATCCTTTCTTTATACCCCCTTTCATGTGTGATCACATACCTCTTCAACGTTTACTTTCAGTTTTGCTTGACTTACCTTCTTGTTATACTGTGTTAAACCTTAATAAAACTCATCTTATTCATCCTAGTTCTTCTTCTACCACCCCCTTTGTTTGTGCTACTGCCCCACTTGCATCCTGTCTCATTCCCCACTCTCCATCCTTTCTCTCGATTTTATCTGGGAGAAGTTTGCCTGGGGTCATTCACCTGAGCCTCCTCACCTGGCCTCTGACAGGCCTGTTGGGACAGCATGCCTGCCTGGTGAGGATAACGGTTGTCGAGGGCCGTGGGGAAAGTAACAAACTCTGTTTTCTGTCATGATGACATACCTGAGAAAAGAGAAGACCTTGAGGGAGTTGGTTTGCAACAGAGCATAGAGTCAAATACAAATAGACTTGAGTTGATTACAATATTGCCAGGTGAACAGAGAACTGT